TTTGGATGTTCCTAAAAAAGACAATCTCTATATATAGCATGGATAGGTACCGTGTGTCTGCTGCTGTGCCAGACTCCAAATCCTATGGGTTTAAATCCTGCCTGACCTATGATGGCCTTCTCACCCAGTCAGTGGGCTTAGTCACTGTTTGGAGGAGAGTTGCATTCCCATTGTGTATGGTATGTAAATCCTTCTCAAGGAGTGGAAGTCAAGGAATGCATAGCTGAAATTGCATCTGCTTGAATAATCAGTGCAGGCTACCTTGGATCTGGAGGAGACTACTGCCTCCAAAGAGCAAGAAGGGTCATCTTCAGCGAGTGCTGCTTGAGCAGACGGCAAACTCCAATGTCAAGCAGTGGCAGGAAAGAAAACACCATCCAAATCTGCATTAGCTACATTGACACTGACAGCCTCAGCCCAGGGACTTCTGTCACTACACTGGTGCCTACTGATACAGCACCAATCTCAACATCGGCATTCCCAGCATTGACAACTTCAGCATTGGAGCCAGAACTGATGCCCCAATGTAAGGGTGAGACCAAAAGGCACAACCAAATGGAGCTGAGACGTGGCTCTCAGTGCTGGGACAAACAATCTTGAAGGAGGAGGAGGAACAGCACTCTCCAAAGAGAGTGCCTAAAGTCTTCTACTGAAGTAGAAATGTTCTGCAAACCAGCACCAGCAAAGACACCAGCACTGACCACTGTGCCAATTACAGGCTCCGTCTACGCCCTTATGGATTCACCTAGATTCTTTCCAGAGACTTCTTCAGCATATTGCCCGGCATATTGCCACATGTCACCACCATTCAAAAAGTACTATTCTTTGGTCATGCCTTCTCCCGGATGTTGAGCAGGGATGCCTTTCCTCTACCTTGTATAAGAGCAACCTGAGAGCTGGTACTGAGCATTCCTCTCTCACAAGATGCTGACGCAGGGGAAGTCTGAATAGCAATGGGCTGACCGGTGCATCTGGGCCAGTACCATTTAACGTGTCAAGCTGGCCATACTGGGGATCATTATCTCAAGTGTCCCAAAGCAGATCTTCCTTCCGATCCAGGAAAATATCCGGCTCCCTGGTGACATGACTACCTAGGCCACTGACCACTCAGGAGCTAGGAGTAGCAGAAGAACATCCACAGTTTCCAACAAAAGAATAGTTATCACCTGATGAGGCAGCTGCACCAACCCCTGCCTTGGCAGATGACTATTTTAAGCCCTTTCAGGCTCTCCTGGTTTGCATTGTGAAGACCCTGGATGTAGAGATGGTTATGTAGGAGAGCTCTTAAATGTATGGTATTCTGACCCCCTCAGCCCCAACCAGGATTGCTCTCCCTATTAATGAGGCCATACTAGAGCTGGCCAGGAGTCTGTGGCCAGCACTAGTCCTTGTCCAAATGGGAGGGAGAACACTATCAAGTGTCCCTGAAGAATTTTGAGAACTTTATTCCCCCCTGAGCCCAGCTTCTTTAGTAGCTGTAGCAGTGCAGGAGAAGTTGAAATCAACAAGAGGCACACCCGGGGACATGGACCCCAGAAGTTAGAACTTTTCAGGCACAAAACCTACTCTTTTTGGTTTTGCTGCAACTCTGGGTGGCTATCAGGCAATGCTTGCCAAGTATAATTTCCTAACATAGAGCAGGGTGACTCCTGTTCTGTGCTATATAACCTGATCAAAGAGATGAGGAAGATTATTAAAGAAGGCCAGATGGTTACCAGAAGAATCCGCAGGCAGTCATGGGTGCTTCTGACATGGCTGCGACCATGAAACGGGCATCAGGCTATTAGCCACTGGACTACTGAGAGGTCCAAGATATCACCCAGCACCTCCCACTCAAGGGGCTGGAGATCCAATACAAGGGCTGACAAAGTGCTCCACTCCTTAAGATTTGAGGGCTACCTTGAGGTCACTAGAGATTTATACACTAACCCCTTATGGGAAGCCCTACAAATATCAGCCCCAGCAGAGGCAGCTGGCTTACCCTTACTCCCAGGCAGACAGACAGATTAGCCATAGTGGAAAAGGCCACAGTACCAGAGGAGACCTCTTCTGCCTCCTCTGTCCCATATGCCAACCAGTTAGCCGATTTGATGAAAGTGTCAGGAGCCACATCAGAGCTAATCAGGAGCCATCTTGCCTTGGTCCACAGGTCCAGTTGGTCCAATATCACCTTGGGCAAATGGGTGCTGATATAGTTATTCCTGGCTATCCTTCGACAGCCTACCTTTCTCAACCCCCTTCCCATTCCCCTTTCAGGGGCCTTTTCATGAGAGCCTGTTACAAAAGTGGCCTTGTTGCTTCATCTAGGAGCTGTAGAAGAGTTTCCAGAATAATACGGGGGAAAAGACTTCTGTTTGCAATACTACTGTATCCCAAAGAACGGTGATCTTTGTCCTGTCCTAGACCTGAGACAAATACATAGGCTGCCTCAAATCCAAGATGGTGACTCTTGCCTCTATCATTCCATCTCTTCAGATTCAAGACTGCTTAAGGGCTCTCAACTTATAAGGTGCAACTTTCTGCATAGCCATCTATCTGGCCCACAGGCAGTGCCTGAAATTCACAGTGCGATCGGGTCATTGCTAGTACAAGATACTGCCATTCGGCCTCTCTACAGCATCGCGTGTCTTCACGAAATGCCTGATGGTGGTAGTGGTCCATCTTAGAAGACAAGACATTCACATCTATCACTTAGATGACTGGCTGATCAGAGACAGGTGACAGTGGGAGACAGCAGTGAGTCTGGAATCTGCTATCGCTTTGGCCAAAAGAACTTTAAGCACTTGTGACTGAATCTTCCCTATATAAGACAAAGGTGGTCCTAAGGCCTCATCCAAAACTGATTTCCCAGGTCTCAGATTTTCATCAGAACCAATTTACTATCTTACCAATCTGCTTCCTTATAGCCACACTGGCACTGAGAGAAAAGAAATTGTGTGCAGGACTTTGTTTTAATATATTGACAGGACTAAGCCATTTACACTGTTGCCCAATCTATTTCTGGCTCTGAGTCTTAAAGGTCAAGCTGTTGCATCTCCTACTGAATAGCAAGTCTCACTCCACTAGAGCTCAAGTGATCTCTTCAGACATGTGCTAGTGTCCAAGATCTTCGAGATGGAGTTACCTGCTGACCTTTGTCAAACTCTGTGTCTTGGACGTAGCTGCTGGGTCAGGTGCCAAGTTCAGGAGAGCAGTACTTCTGTTGGATTAGTCAAACGGTGAAACACCTCATTCCCAATGTTCGAGGGGATACCACCTGCCAGTCAGCTGCAGTGGGATCTACACTGACACATATTCAAAGAACCAGTTAGCGTAGGGTGATCATTCTTTAAGATGTTGTCAGTGGGGGTCTGTGACAGGGTGCTGGGCAAAGGGTTGCTGATTTAGCCCTCTGTCATGCCAGCTCCCATTTAGGGGAATAAATTAGAGCTGGCTGGAGATAATCTGGCCCTAATTGGGGAAACAAACAGCTGCCACCTAATTAGCCTGGGGCTGTATAAAAGCCTCTGGGGAAGGAAGCCAGGGGAAGAGCAGAAAGAAGGGGAAAAGGCAGGGAGTTGAAGCAGGGAGATAGCTCTTCCCTCCCTCCTCCTGTCTCCAAATGGTGAAGGGCCAACTGTACATGGTGAAACAGGGGTGGGAACAAGCGTGTAAAGAAACTGCACCTGTGGTTCCTAACCCCAGGGTCTCAGAGTGACTTTGTGGACCTAGCAGAGGCAGGAGGCAAGGGGGGCCCTGCCATGCTCTGCTACAGGATCCCACAACACCCTCCACCTGATCCCTGCTGTTTGGAGTTCTCAGCTACCACGGGCTTTGAATTGCAAGGGAACTGAGGGAGGACATGGTTACTCGACCTTTTCTGTCCAAACACACGGAAGCATGGGTGCATGCACAGCCCCAACTAGACATGGGTATTCAAACAAAGAAATCCGATCTCGTGCACGTGCATCACCAGTGAGAGTCACACTGACAACATCTTGAAGAACCACAGTTACTATAGTGCAAGTAACCATTCTATTTTTACTTAGAAGTACTGTATCTGAGAATGTTATTGAGTAATTTAATAGTTCCAAGTAGTTTCATAGTTTTATATTCAAGAGTTACATGATTAGGGAACATCTTGCTGAGTATTTATAATTCCTTTTTTTATTATTATTATTATAAATGCCCTTTCCTTTCATGAGCAGGGGGAAAAAATTGCTTGTTTTATATAGAACTGGAGATGTTCACTCTAAAGTCTTCTGAGGCACACTTCATTGGAATGGGGCAGAATAAAGGGCATGATTTTTCTTCACTGTGCATATGCAATTGTGCACCAATTTGTACGTGTATTTTTTGTTTGTAAAGTGGGTAACTGAACATGCAAATAATCAGTTACCTGTTTGACCGTTTGTATGTATAGTTCAGAAAATCTGGTCCCAAGTGTCAGTTTGAACAGTGTGATATGGCTTCAACATTGTGGTTTTGGCATTTTTGGAAGACCTTTACAGATCCAGAATATTGTAAGCAGATTTCAAATTTAAATGTGGCTAGTTATCAGCTAGGTAATATCTATCAGGGTTAGTGTAGTTAACTTTTTGTAATCAGAGAAGTTTTCTGACACTGAATTCTGATACAGCGAAGCAGAATAAAGGATTCAGGTTTCAGTTTTTCAGTGTACAATGTGAACTTCTATTTATAAGGGTTAAAGTGAAGAGACTGCTATAAATTTGTTCCAAACTCTTTACAAACCTAGCAGAAGCTGGTTAATATTTTCAGACAGATACAATTTTACTAGAGTACATTTTTCTTTTAGCACCTTCTTCTGTTAGATTTGCCATGGAATAAAACACAAATATTGCATCTCAACAGTCAAAAAAGTAGTTTGGATGTTGGCTAACGTTTTATAACTAGAAGTATGATTCGGCATTGGTACAACATACACACTTGTGCCTCGTTACTTTAGATGTCTCTTTATTTTCTTTTCTGTGATCTCATACCCCTGTTTATTGAATTTACAGGTGGCAGTATGCTGTATCTGTTTCTTTGTTATTCTTCCATTGAACCTTGTTGGTACAATTCTTGGCCGAAATCTGTCGGGCCAGCCCAACTTTCCTTGTCGTGTCAATGCTGTGCCTCGTCCGATACCGGAGAAAAAATGGTAAAGAGAAGTGCTTATACATTGTATATTCGCTCAAACATAAATGTGTTTAGAATTTTGAATGATCCCAATACCTCAAAAATAATTTTAGAGTCGCTTTTAAATTTATATTTAGTTTAAGGCATGTGTGCAGGAAAAAGCTTCTCAGGAAGCTGATTTAAGTTTCTGCATTAAAGCATCTCTTTAAAGGGATTGGATGGATAAAGGTAAAAACTTTCAAGTTGAAGTCACTAGTTTGTGGTACCATTCCCATTCCAGGTAGATAGGTTTCCCCAGAAATCAAAGTCCCCATCTCAGTTAGCACCTTTGACAGATTTAAGATCGAACGGGCCCTGGAGACTGAACTAGCTTCACCCTTGGAGGTGGGTTTCTCCCAGTTAGGGCCGAGAGACATTTGGAGGATGTTATTGGGGGCAGCTTGCATTGCCACTACCTGTTTTTTTGGGTAAGAGGAGTCTCTAGGCCATCAAGTTGATACTGTTCATGAACATTACTTTTTATGTGAATATAAAGGCATCTTTATTTCCAAAAAATAGACTTTTTTAGCTTGTAGCATGCCTACCATGAATATAGTCTCCTTGCCCTGTTAGCTTGTATCTAGTGAGGAGGAGAGAAGCTGTGGAAATAAAACTATCCTCAAAGGATGGGTTTTATTGATTTTATTCCTCTCAGGAGAGTGGAGTAGTAAAAATGAAGGGGATGGTGGAATGTGTTACCCGCACAGTCTTCAGGAAATGCAGTGTCTTGAGTTAATGGTGTGTTGCTCAGTTGAGAAGGTGAGGTTTGATTTATACTGCAGCCCATATCTTGGAGAGCTGATGGATTTTTCTGGATCAGGATGAGAAAAAGAAATAAGATACTTTTAATGAAGGTAAAATTGTGGGACCATCGACTTAGACAAGTCTCCCTATAAATAATGAAGGAAGCAGCAAATTAAATCACTAAATTACCTCTCTCTAGTTAAATTCAGTATCAGTATGGGTAATATGAAGGGGTCACCTCTGGTTAAGTGACAGTAATATATACAGATACTGAGTATTAATTTTATTCATAAGCTCGTGGCATAGAGTCACTATCGCATTACAAAATTCCAAAAATTCTGAGCTAGATAACCATTTCTCTGTAAAATATTTTTCTCATAAGTATTGGTTAAATAGATGCATGATCACTGTCTCTTGCAAGACCTTTGTGGAAATTTGGGTTTAAACACATGAATTACATTGTTAAATGTAGGTGCAGTGTAAATATATTTCAATAAGGGTCTGTCAAATGATGAGTTTAGGCTATTAATGAGGAAAGTATTAGGATTAATCGCGGTTAACTCACGCAATTAACTCAAAAATTAATCGCGATTAAATATTATATCTATCAATATCTATATATGTATGTATGTCTATAGATAAAAATAGGTTAAATAAATCCCTGTAATGCTTAGGTATGCTTAATCCTACTTCAGCATGGGGAGATGGACTAGAAGACCTCTCAGGGTCCCTTCCAGTCCAACACTTCTCAATTTCAGTGATATACATACGGCACTCGTTACCCCAGTCTTGAAAACGAAGCACATTTTTGTGTGTAATAGTAATACTTGTGTATAGACATTGAGATGGTGCTACACAATGAATGAAGCCTTACAATACCCCTGTGAAGAAGGTATTCTCATATTAGGGATGGAGAAAGGCACACAATCTGTGATTTGCCTATGGCCACCAGACTTATCTGTGGCAGAGATGGAAATAAAATTAGATTGTCTGATTATTATTCTTGTGCCTTAACCACAATACCATCTTGTATTATTAAAAGTGTCCCTATAACTGACTTGCTCAAATATATAGATAACTTACACTGATAGCACTTAGAGCGACAAGGTGGATGAGGTAATACCTTTTATTGGACCAACTTCTGTTGGAAAGAGACCAGCTTTAGAGCCACACAGAACTCCTCTTCAAGTCTGTGAAAGATACTCTGGCCTTGTCTACACTGCCACTTAACAGGACTGAAACTTTCTCAGTGCTTTAACATTGGTAGTGGAGATGCCCTCTGAGGGAGCCTTACAGCTAAATGCAAGGTGGAACAGACTGTTTAGCATAAGTAGTTAGCATATATTGTAAGGGACCATTCAAGGTAGAGTGGCCTGTTAACACCTGCAGTCATAGGACAAAAAGAGGTGTTAATGGGCACTCTACTTTGAATGGTCCCTTAGAACAGCATTTCTCAAATGTGGAGTGGATTTTTCTGCACTAGGACAGTCTCCTGGGTGGAGAGGGGCAAAGCAGCGGCCCTTCCCTGCAGTGCACAGCTATTGCTCCTGACTGTCTTGGTGTTTGCTGGCACCGCCAGCAGGGGATCAGTGCCCTGCACCACGCGGCCTCCTATGGGCTCCCGGGCAGTGCCTCTGCAGATATGTGGAGCCAGTGTGTGAACTCAGCTAGGGTTACCATATCTAACAAATAAAAAAAGAGAACCCTCCATGGGCCCTGGCCCCGCCCATTCCCCACCCCAGCCCCGCCCCAACTCCGCCCCTTCCCCACCTTAACTCCGCCCCTCCCACTCCCAGCCACGCGGAAAGGGCTGCCCGAGCGCTACTGGCTTCACGGTTTGCCGGGCAGCCCCCAGACCCTGCTGCCCCCAGCCGGCGCTTCCCCAGTGCAGCTGGAGCCCAGGAGGGGAAGCGCCCAGCCGGGGGCGCAGGGTCTGGAGGCTGCCCGGCAAACCGTGAAGCCGGTAGCGCTTGGGCTTCGGGCAGCCCCCTTGCCTCCGGACCCTGCGCCCCCAGCCGGGCACTTCCCCTCCCGGGCTCCGGCGGCACAGGGTCTGGAGGTATGGGGGCTGCCCAAAGCCCGTAGCGCTCGGCTCTTAAACAGAGCCAAAGAGTTGGGGAGGAGCAGAGCTGCCGCGGGAGGGGAAGTGCCTGGCCGGCATTTTCCCGGACATGTTCGGCTTTTTGGCAATTCCCCCCGGACAGGGGTTTGAGTGCCGAAAAGCCGGACATGTCCGGGGAAAAAGAGGACGTATGGTAACCCTAACTCAGCAGGCTTCAGGTTTCATCCCCTGGACGCTGGCTCTGGACTTCAGGCCAGGTGGCGGGGCTCGAGCTTGGGGAAAATGTCAGCGCAGCCACCAGCAAGGGCTGGTAGCTGTACTCTGAGGCCACCAAAAGAATTGTTCTGAGAACCCCTGCCTTAGAATATGTGCTATTTATGCTGAACCATCTTTTTCACCTTGCATTTAGCTGTGATGCTCTCTTCTAGTACTTTTCCCAGACCTGAAAGGTTTGTCTCACCAACAGAAGTTGGTCCAATAAAAGATATTACCTCACCCACCTTGTCTCTCTAAAGTCCTAGGACCTACACATCTACAACTACACTGCATACAATTATGGTAGATAGCACTTTCCATTTCAGAATTATTTTTACATACATTACATCACAGGGATTTTGTGGGGCTTTGTTACATAGGTAAGTATTATGGGTAAGTTTTTTAAAAACAGGAGGCTGTAGTCAGGCTCCTAAATAAGAGGTCATATGCTCAAAAGCAGTGAGGTCCCATTGACTTCATTTGGAGCTGCTGGGGTGCTTTGTCCTCTTAGGGCCTGACCCAAAGCCCAGCTTAAGTGAATAGCGTTCAGCACGTAGACTTCCCATCAGGCATGGAGACTGACATGAGTCTCTCACATGTTTTAAAAATCTAAGATTATTTTCTTTTTAAATACGGTGGGTCTAGAGAGACTGATGCCGAGAATTTGTCCAAATGGATGCCATTAATATGACTTTTTTGGGTTTTATTAAGTGTTCCACTATTTTGTCTTGGATATCTTTATTAATGAAATATAAAACTGTAAATTTATCTAATATCAACATTGATTGCTATTTCTGTTATTTTGCAGGTTCATGGAACCAGCTGTTATTGTTTGCCTAGGTGGAATCCTCCCTTTTGGATCAATTTTCATTGAAATGTGAGGGGTTTTTTTTTGCATGGAATTAAGTTAGCTATTGCTAGTAAATATATTATGCCCAGTCAGTTGAAACTGCTAAAAAGGTGTAGTTACAATATAATAAAGTTGCCTATTTCATTCAATTCTACTTAGGTATTTTATTTTCACTTCATTCTGGGCTTACAAGATCTACTATGTTTATGGCTTCATGATGTTGGTGCTGGTTATCCTCTGCATTGTGACAGTCTGTGTGACCATTGTATGTACGTACTTTCTGCTAAATGCAGAGGATTATAGGTGGTAAGTACCATTTTTGTTCATAAATATCCTAATAGTGTACTATCTCAGAATCATAATACAGATTTGCAAGAGACTTTCCCTATTGAAATAACGTTTCTCTAAACACAAGTGGATTTTTTAAAAATCACCCTGTATCAAGCAATGGTTGACATTAGAGTGTTTGCAGTGTTGTTGTAGCCATGTTGGTCCCAGGATAACAGAGAAAAGGTAGGTAAGGTAAGTTCATTTGTAGTAAGAGCATGTTGATTACACCCTCAAACTGCGTAGTGTAAAAAATATACATAAAACAGAAGCTAATGAGTATTTGATATTGCTGACAAATATTTTCCTGGAAGCCTGCTTTTCACGTGAAGCACAACATGTTTAGACAAGTAGATTTTTTTTCTGCTTCAGATTTCTCCTGTACCATATGTTTTGTTGGGGAAACTTGCGTTGTTTGGTCCATATCTGGTAGTGTGACAGACTTGTATGTGTTTTTCAGGCAATGGACGAGCTTTCTTTCTGCTGCATCCACTGCAATCTATGTTTACATGTATTCCTTTTACTACTACTTTTTCAAAACAAAGTAAGTGGTGGCTGTATCTTGTACTTCATAGGTCAGCATTTAGTAAATCAAACATTTGACCTAAAGAATTAAAAATAAGCTTACTTTAGAGTAACTGGTATATTGAGAAACTACAAAAAAAAGACCTAAGAACATAAGGGCAGCCATGCTGCATCAGACCAAAGGTCTGTCTAGCCCAGTTTCCTATCTTCCGACAGTGGCCAATGCCAAATGCTTCAGAGGGAATGAACAGAACAGATAATCATCAAGTGATCCATCCCCTGTCGCCCATGCCCAGCTTCTGGCAAACAGAGGCTAGGGACATCATCCATGCCCATCCTGGCTAATAGCCATTGATGGACCTATCCTCCATGCATTTATCTAGTTCTTTTTTTGAACCCTGTTATAGTCTTGGCCTTCACAACATTCTCTGACAAAGAGTTCCATAGGTTGACTGTGTGTTGTATGAATAAATACTTCCTTTTTGTTTGTTTTAAACCTGCTGCCTATTAATTTCATTTAGTGACCCCTAGTTCTTGTGTTATGAGGAGGAGTAAATAACACTTCCTTATTTACTTTCTCCATACCAGTCATGATTTTATAGATCTCTATCATATCCCCCCTTGTCATCTCTATTCCAAGCTGAAAAGTCCCAATCTTATTAATCTCTCCTCATACGGAAGCCATTCCATACCCCTAATAATTTATGTTGCCCTTTTCTGAACCTATACCTGTGGTATAAATTACTCTCTCTCTTTTTTTTTTCTTTTTTCAGAATGTATGGCTTGTTTCAAACATCATTTTACTTTGGTTATATGGCGGTATTTAGCACAGCCTTGGGGATAATGTGTGGTAAGTTCAGAATATACTCAAATCTGCTATGTGTATATCATAAATTCACAGCTGTCTCTATTTTCAAAATGCCTTCTGTATGTATCATTAAAGAAAACATACTATCCTTGAAAATAACCTTCCAATTTCTGGCTTATATGCTTGGTTTTTCATTTTATACCAGCCTAGTAGAACCAGGTTTGTGTGAACTGTTTTTTTCAAAAGTGAAGATATCTGTCTCCTATGTGCTATGCAGAAAACAAAAGACATCACTCTGCAGGGCTGAAAGAATAAAATAATACTATAATCAGAGGTTGAATTTCCAACACACCTGAGCTTTCACAATTAATTCAATATTAACTAGAGTCCTTTATCTTTTCAGTTCGAGATTATTTCTTTAGCACCTGGAGGGGGAGCTAGATTTCCAGGCATCCATTTAAACTGTGCCCTGAAACTCTCAACTCTTTTAATTTTTGAAATTTGAAAATGGAAGCCCTTAGTTCAGGAGTGGTCAATTGAACAAATACTTCTCATTCTATTCATTGCTGACATACTCTCCCAGTACTAGGCTCAGGACATGGGCAACAAGGATTTTCGGCGCAGGCACTGAGTAAGGAAGATTCTGCCTTGAATTGCCACCCAGCAGTGAAATGCATGAGCCTTATGCTGTAATGCAAAGGTTATAAAAGGGATATGCCTCCTGACCACCTCCTTTGTCCCCCCCCCCCCACTTGACTGCTTCAAGTGCTTGTAGCAGTCTGGTTCACACCAGACCTAAACTCTTCTGTAGTTTTGGGGTTTTTAGGGTAGTTAGGTAAGTCATTAATCTATACTATTCCAAAGTGTAAAAAACTTTAATCACAAGGCTGTAGCATGCAACAGATCAGGATTAAATCACTGTGATGCAGCAAGGACACAGTGCTAGTAGCTGGTCACTACTATTTGCCATGAGGAAGTACATTATCCAGGTTATCTGTTTGGCCTAGGCCATCATCTCCAGGCATGGCTCTTGCAGACAGAAAGGAGGACTAGAGCTAACCATGATAGAGGAGTCTTCACCCTTCCCAGGAATTGTAGTCCAAGACCCAAACAGTTCTGGGGCAATAGGTACAATAGGGCACTTCACTTGACAGGAGGTAAACTGAATGGTGCTTGACTGACTTTCTGGTAAAAGAGAGCCGCACAGCAACAGTCCCAAATCCCTTGGTGCCAGTAAGCCTTTGATATGTTCCCTGGGGTTAAGAAACTTATGTCAGTTCCTCTGCACCAGAGGTTCACTCTTTCTGAAGCCGTAAGCTGTGTTCCCAGCACTGGATAAACTAAAGTTCCATCTAAGGCTTTAAAACAAAAAACAAAAACCATTCTTCACACCCAAAAATCATGTCGGTAGAAGGAAAGGCGCACTAAGGTCCATGGTCCATCATTTGTCAGTGTCTCTGACACAGATATTTTCTAGAAAATCCCTCAGCAGTACCATCTAAAGAAGCAGCTGTGAGCCTTGGCTGTGGTGCTGACATTGCCCCTGTGCTGAGTCCATTCTCTCCACCACCCCAGGACAGGACTGTGGTCCAAATGGGGCAGCTCGTCTTGCATCAAGAGGGATGGTTTCCTCCACTCTCATCTTTTTAGCAGGCTCAAGTATCCAGTATCATGGATGGTCTCAGCACCATCTGGGATGGCGCAGAGTGCTCATTCTAGTAACTCTCAGTACCAGGGGTCTCTTGGGAGTGGAGAGAATGCAGAAGAGACCTGTTTTTTTTTTCTGGAAAGGAACGAGGAAGCAAATGTTACAAATATTTACAAATGAGCAAAGAACACAGTGCTCTTCCATGCATTTGGTTTCACTGCCTGTTAGATGCTGTTTGAGCAGACCTTTGGATAAGAGTGTAGTAAATCGTATGGAAGTTCACTTGGTGAATTTAGTATATTCACCTGTTGGCTTTTTTGGTTCTTTCCCTCACATGTTTTTGAAAGTACAAATTGGTTCTTTCCCATTTTTGCACAATATGACGGGCTTTATTCATGCAAGCCTAGAGTCTTATTTTACAACTCCCTACACATGCAAATATTCCTTTGCTCCTAGTGGGAGTACTTGCATACGGGTTACCGATGTCCATAAGGATTTGTGGGCTCAAGGCACTAATAGATTCAATATCCACCACTTATGTTTCATGCATATTTTTTCTTCTCTTTAGAAGAGCCAAGAAGGTAATTTCATGACATTTACAAGGAAAAAGAAATGTGGGCTACTCTAAATTAAGTGCTTTTCTGACTGAAATCTCATCTTTCCTCTTGAAGTCTTTGGCATATTACAAGGTTCCCCCACTGTTCTGGCAGTCTCTCAGCTATTTTTTCTTTAGTAGGCTTTTATATACCTTTCAGCTCTAATCTTTTTTTTTTTTTAAGTGTTCAGCCTGGTACTGATTAAAATGTCTAATGTCAGGAACCGAGTGTGTCCATCAGTTTTTGTAATTAAAATGTTTTAAAAGAAAATGGAAAGGGAAAATCTTTGTATGCTTTCTTGTTACCGTGAAAAAGTATTTGAAACAGTATTAAGGAGATATCTAGGTTTTTACTACCCAAATATTTCTTCAAAATCAGACAACAATCCATTTTGTGCATTAAATTCATATCCAGCACGGCTAACAAAGTGTGTTAGAAAAATGTGCACTGTGCATGCTTTTTACTGCTGATCTATTATGAAACAATGCATGGAGGGACGATGCTCATGCACATGGCTATCTGCAGGATCATGCAATTGGATGCTGTTGGAATCGATTAACATGAACTTGCCTGCTTTGGAGTCCCTGCATATTTAGGTCACCTATCCCGATCATAAATCTCACGACCATATTTAACTAACTCAAATTTCACACACTGTGAGGTACTTTGATCACTGGAGAACACTGCTTCCTACAGAGCATGAGCGCTTTGAAAATGGCAGTGGGGAGCTCCCTAGAACTTCCAGACCTTTGATCTTAATGCAGGAGACCTAAAACTTTAAAAATCCCCATCTCTTTAAATAGCATAGGGAGGAGATCATCTGATCTGGGTAGCCATTCTTCATGCCCTCGTGGCTTACTAACTTCATATTGTCCATGCTTAATTCAGTTGCATATATGGTGCACTTGACAATGGCACATTCAGATATATACTTAAATTGTTTACTCCCTTACTTGGAGTTTCTTAACTCCTGTGTATACAGAATCACAACTCTGATTTGCATTAGTTGTTTTGTGATATTAGGAACACAAAATCATAGAAGATTAGGGCTGGAAGAGACCTCAGGAGGTCATCTAGTCCAACCCCCTTCTCAAAGCAACAGTAGAAAACTGTTTCTTTTATGATTCAGGTGTTCCTGACTGTTTGGATCCTTTGAGTTTTGCTTTACATGCTTATGAAAGTTTATGGTTCTGATGAGATGGACTGTTTACAATTACTCCATTAAACAAGTATTTTCTCACAGATATCCTGTTAGCCAAGTCTCTTGAAAACCCCCCTAGCCAAAATACTATTAGCTTGCTTGGTGCTGATGGCCTGATCTAACTCAGATGCATCTGGCATATCTTTTGGTTTCACAATCACCGCTTGCTATTTGAGGCTAATGGGAGGACTCGCTCAGTAGCCTGGAAGATCCAAAGGACTCCTCAGTCCTCATGAGTTTATAGGAAGTCTAAAAAGGCCCGAAGATTTTTCTGCACTTCGAAACATCCCATCCTGCCAGTAGCTTGGTTGTGCCTGTTCATTCATTCCTTAACTGGCTGTTGAAGGATATGTATCAGGAATTTCAAAAGGGCTGAGCACAATTACTTTGCACCAAAGAATATTACAACTTACGTCCTCCCACTTCCCACTCCCCCCCTCCCCACACCTCCCTGAAGGCTTATTGGTAGAGATGGCTGTGCATGTGAGTAAGAGCTCTGGTTCAGCTGTTCTGGATCATAATTCTAAGCACGAAGTTGCTCTTTGGATCTCTCTGCCACTGCCACCGTGATGCTGGAGTCACCCTAGTTCATATTGAAATACCTAAATTCTTAGCTTGTGCCCATGAGCTAAAAGGGGTATATTAATGTCGCATCTCAGACCAAAGCCTGTCTTCTCCTTTGGAGAGTCTTACGATATGTCTGCCTTTGAGCTGGGAGGTGTGATTCCCAGGTTGTGTAGACATGCCATGCTAATTGTGCTTGAGCTGGCACTCAGACTACAGCAGTGATGGACACCTTTCTTCCCTATTCCGTGGAGAAAGGCCTCCATATGTACCTTTTATCCTCCCTTATCCAAAAGTTCTGACATAGCTCAGGAGAGACAAATAATCATCTTAAAAGCCCCATTTTGGTCAAGATGCATCTTATTCTTGATCCCTTTCAAAGTTGGCAGTGTTTCAGGTTTAGTTTCCTTTATGTGGTACTGTTAATTAAGCTTAATCAACCAACATGACACTAATTTTTGGTTTATCTTAGTTTTATCCTGTGACCCATCATTGTAGTATCTGAACACCTTCCACGTGAAGTGTCTAATGGAATTCATGGAGTCTCTGGTACTTCCCCCTTTTTGGGGTAGAAATTCTGCTTGGGTAGGGTTTTTGTTTTGATTTGATTTCTCCCTTTTTTGGTTTGGCTGGTAGAAGTGGGTGTCAGTGAGTGCAATTCTTATGGTAGAAAGGCTTTTTCAAAGTGGAAAGCTTTTGCAGCATTTCTCTAAAGATGTTCAGGCTCTGGAATCACCTGTTCTTCTCTGGAAGTTTTGTTCATATCTGGATTCCCTTGTCGAGTGCTTTGGACCCCTTTATCTTGCATGCTTCATCCTGCTTTAATCTGTGTTGACGCAAAGGAGCACCATGCATAATCTATTCTGGAAAGAACATCTTAATAAACTTGGGCTTTTATCTGCAGTGGTTACAGCTCTTAGTTTGTCCACCCAGCTTTTGGTTTCACTTCACACCATAGAGTGGGTCAAACTGACTGAGTAACTGCAGTTCTCTTGATTCTTACTGGGTTTGCACCTTTGGTGTCATGTTAGCTTATCCTCGCATGTTGGCATCAGCAGTAACATTGTTTGTTCCTGTTTGGGAGGTATGCACTACAGTCATGTAGCATTCTCTACGCTACTGCTTACTCAGCCTTGCATATCCATCTTAGATTCTAGGTTTGGCCTATTGGAGTTGCAGAACTTGCTTCTGGAATGAGTTCTTGTTCTCTTGCCACCTGAGTGTCTAGTTTTGTTAGGAGGCCCTTTACTAGTGCGATGTATTGTTCAATCCGAAACTGTTTCCACCCTCAAACACCTAATGTCCTATTCCTTTATTACTGCTGTGGTCCAGGCATACTCGCCTCATGACTCTTACTAATTTGAAAACTGCAGGTTGCAATTTCCTTTTAACAACTTATTGCTATTCATTTCTACCTCATGGTGAGAAAAAGAACATTCATTTTCAGAAAGGATGTAACTTATAATAAAACCCACCTTCCCCAGAGATTTGGGAATGTTTTGCTTTCTACCCTTTGCTTGGAGAAAAGGACCTGGTTATTAGAAGCAGTAGCGGGGGCACTGCTATATTATCAGGGCAAAGCAGCATAGTCTTCTGGGGAGATGGTTTAATGGATTTAGATCTTTAGAGCTATGGGAGTTCTTGCCAGTTATTCACTGGAAGCAGGGATAATTGTATACAGTTTGAGAACAAGTATTCTCAGGTAATTGTCTTTTTTCAGAATGAATGGTTTAAATGATTCTAAGAACAGTCTTTTTGTTTTATGTTAATAGTTATTAGATGATCTTCTCTAAAATATACATTTTATTTTTTGTTTTGCAGGAGCGATTGGTTACATGGGAACAAGTGCCTTTGTTCGTAAAATCTACACTAATGTGAAAATTGACTAAGGAAATAAGAAAACTGAACTATGGATCAGTTACTGTTTTCAATGGGGGATGAACTTGCACAACAAAAAGCGCAAGAAGAGAGTTGGGTTTTAACACTGGGCCTCGCGTGGGTCTCCATTTTGTGGATGGCTTAAAGTAACATCTATTTTCATTGATCCTAGATTCTTACTGACTGCTTTCTCCAACTGTTCACAGCAAATGCTTGGATTATATGCAGTAGGCATTACTACAGTACATGGCTAATCTTCCCAAAAAAACCTAGCTCATTAAAGATGAATAGGCTAGCTCTCTTCAGTGAAGAGGACAAACAGTTTATTTCAAGAATTTGTTCCATTCAGTAAAAAGAGGGAAACTTGGCTGCTAAAACTGCTTGATTAGTAGTCTTCCTGGTACTTAACATTTCTAAATTATCTAAAAATGCTGTTCCAGAAAGATTACTTTTCTCGTTTTCACTGCCATTGTCAGATAGAAGTATGTTTTGTATTTTGACTTTGGGTGCTTCTTTTGGTTCATTTGCAGTATCAACTATCCCTACACCCATTTGTCTAAAAAATAATTTTAAAAATATATTAAACTCACTTGCATGTAATATATCAGCGATCATTCTAGTTGGACCAACTTCCCATTTATTTATCTTTAAAGTAATATCCAGCTAAATCTTAAAACCATCCAAAGAAGATACAGTCTGAAGACAGTGCAATTTACTGTACAGTTAGAAAGCAAAATGTTAAATGAAGAGGATGCTGTTTGTTTTTATTAAAAGTTTTGAGGTCTAGATTAAAACAAAACCAACATTTTAACTGAATGTCTAAAGTGATTCTCCTTTTTTTTCAAAGTTAGTCTTTTTTTTGGTTTGGGTTTGAATGAAGGCTTTCCTTAAGACATTATAAAGTGGTAATAAGTGTATATAACATTAAATAATGTAACTTAGGTGTAGATCCCAAATGTATTTGGATGTACAGATTTACTACAGAGTACTTTTTTCTGATGATTCGGTGTACAAATGTGTGAATTTGGGTGGCTTTTTACATCTTGCCTGCCATTGCATGAAACGTTGGGGTTTCCTCACAATGTGTGTATGTCCTACTTTCTGGTCTGTTTCCTTTCTGAAGGTCTTACAGGAGTTACGTTTGTAATTTAGAACATTTTAATTTTTGTTTAATCCTATCTGGACACTTGTGTAACATCTAAAGCACAGTTGCTTTAGAGTGTTCAGAAAACTAAAATAAACTTTTCAGACAAAAATGTTCTGATTGTGAAAATAGATGAATTTGCAGTTGAAAATGTCTGTTTAAAAAGGCAAGGCTATTGAATGCCACTTTCTGTATACAGTATTACATTGCTTTTCAAATATCGAAAACCCACGCTTCAAAGTCTGAGAAAGTTTGCCTACATCCAGGCTATACAGTACAGTTCCAAAGATGGCCAGCTGAGAAAGATCCTTCTTGACTGAAATGTTTATGGGGAAATCTGTTGATTCAATTAGTATACTGGGGAGAAGAAATGAGGAGCACTAATATAAACGGGCAAATAAAGGTTAAGATTTTCTAAGACAAATGAGTGTTAATTGTGTAGTATACTTGGCTAGAAGGATTCTTCATTTGTTTCCATGAGAGACTTAAAAGCCAGTCAGCTTGGGATTTTGGCACATGCCGTATAGGGATGGCTTTCATAAAACAGTCTCTTTGGAACATAACATCTGCCCCAGAAAATGCAACTTGTTGAATTAAAAAGAAAAAGGACAGTGACCCCATGCAATGGTGTTTGTATTAATTATCCCTAAATTGTGTATTTATAAAACATACCATTATTGAGCTGAGGGACGAAATACCATTCCACCCTTGAAGAGGGGAGAACAGAACTCATAGGAAGTATTTATTATAAGGTACGTTTCTAGAAAATTGTGCATCCTGTGTATATTTTATGTAAAGTATGTGAGCTTTAAATGACTGGAACAAGATAATTCCACTGAATAGGGAGAATGCAGCCAAATCAGAGATGCGAAAGAAGTTATAGCCTACATATTCTGTTGAAATTTTACCCGTATAGATCCATAAAAATCTCTACACACACACACTGATTTTCTTGGCCAGGGTTAACTGATCTTTGCAGGAACAGAGAAGTGGCATTTAAAGTAAGTGTATAGTTGGTTGTAGCTATATTTTCCTGTTTGACATAAGATAGTTCTAGTTTAAAAGCATATAGACTGACTGAAGGGAGCATAAACTTGGTCAGCAATTATTTTGCCTTAATAAAATGACTGTTTCACAAAATGTAGACTTTAAACAAAAATGTTTTTTGTACTTGTTCCCTCTAGTGACTTTCCTAGCCCTCTTCTGTTGAATGTTCTTCTGAATGTAAAGTGAAAATCAATTATCAAACACAATAAATACATTAAGTGCCCCTCTGAGGTACAAGATTTGGAAAGGGATTGTTAATAAAGGGTCTGTATCGCTGTATTTAGGGTACTGGGATATGATTAGTCTATCAGAAATGTCATAAATCATTTTTGAATTTCATTTAATTGGTTGTCTTGTAGTTGGATTTTTTTTTAATGCTACAGAATTGCATGCTGCATATTTCCTTTCTCCATCCTCTGGCATTATTAGCTTCAGAAAATCCAGACAGCACACTGTACTTTTTAAAGTGACATTGAAAAGATACAAACCATGATTTCATTTCTGAAGGTATGTTCCTCTGGAGAAATGCTCTACGTTTTAAATAATTGACATTTTTACACTTCTATCCTAGTGCAGGAATAGGTGTTTTCTGCTTTTGAAGGATTGTGAAGTGTGACTCCTTTGTTATTTTGAACTGCTTGTCCTTGTCATGGTTGCTGTTTGAGCAGAGCTTAGTTATTAGCTCAAAGTACTGTGGATACCGCTTGAACCATCTCAGGTAATAGGATGCGGAAGCTCTTGGCTTAGGCAACATAGCCCTTCCTCTGTTGTGGATGAAATAAAGATCTTACACCTAATACTTCTCCTACCATGGCCTCTTGTCAGTTTTTGAATAGGCTTTAAAGCCATCTGTTAGGAACTCTTCAGTTTGGCTCTTCCTATTTTGGTACAGATTACTTTTGTTGAATTTACTAAACGGTGATGCATAGCAATAGCCCATCTCAGCCAAATGTGTTGGATAAATTCAACTGTGAATGTTTTGAATTTAGAAAGGAATGTGAATAGAATGCAGCTGTAGTACTTAGTACAGGAAAAAGGAATTGTTTATTTTGTAGTCATTTTTATTGGACTTTTGACATCTGGTTGCATAGGAGCAGCAGTGTAACTTAAAATGCAGTTATAGTTGCAAAAGTGACTAGATAAAATTGATCATGCCTGCCTGAAAGCTCGCTGTCTCTGTTCAGAGGGATCTACTCATTTAGTGGCAAATTTAGATTTTACTATTGTCAGCACTGCAGAGGCAACAGTAATGAATTGGAATTTATTCTGGTTCTCTCAACAGTAAGTTCCAGTCGCACGACCCATTCAATTACATGTATGCAGTCCTACTGAAGGACGTGGAACTAAGGACAGAATTTGGTCTGCTGAAACTTAGTGGTAATGATGTATAAACTAAAAAGAACCCAGCCTGACTTTCAGATCTTAGGACTACAGCTGGAGGCAACTCTTGTAAATTGAGTGTGTTTGAGCTAGACTCAAGTCTACACGCTGAAATTTCTTAAATTCTTATAAGCGTTGTCTCTGGTCCAGTGCTAGCACAGGTGGGACCTGTATAATAGTCAAGGATCTGATAGATGGACTCCTTTTTATCATTGTTTTTGCTAAACCTGCTACAGCGGGGGTCCCCTCCATTACTATAATCACTTCAGCTGAATCGGAAAGGGCTCCCAAGTGAATCAGATTTCCCGATTTTTTTCCCCCAAACGTGGACAAGACTTGAGGCACAAATGTAATGCTGTTTGTCATTCTGTTAGACTAGAACCAGACTTGAGAATGCAAAACTCTGTGCTGATGCATTTCCATCCTTCAGGAGCAGCTCTTCAGTTCTTTCATCTTTCCCAACGTGGGAGTTCCAAAGTGTCTTTTTGGAATAGAAATGATTTCCTTCCAGAGAAAAACGCATGCAGTTAGAAAGCTAGGTAGCTTTTTTCTCTGGGAGATGCATTTAAATCCTAGAATTAATGCTAACGTTTCGTTGTCATACGTTTGGGAGTTACCTAGGGCATGGGTTTTCAACCTGGAGGTGATAACTTGCTCTTTTTTCATGGCTAGGTAGAAGTGATCCTGAAACTTTTCTGTTGCAACCTTGGGGTCATGAGATAGCAAAAGAAAACCAAATGGTCTAGACCAGTGGCTTTCAACTTGTGGTCCACGGACCCTGGGAGTCTGCAGGCCATGTCTAAGATTTCCAGAGCGGTTTGTACCTCCATTCGAAATTTTTTAGGGGTCTGCAAATGAAAAAAGGTCGAAAAACCACTGGTCTATACAATTGCAACTTTTGCAGTATCTTGTAAAGTGACATTAGCGAGTTCTAATGCATGGAGAAAATTTAAATAATTTGGGGGGAGGACCAAAAAAAGGGTGTGCCCATTTGTTTGTTTTGGGAGAGGCTAGTCTGAATTAGCCTATGTTTGAAGACAAACCTGCTGACGGTGAACTCATGTTTAGGCTTTCTAAAGGTCTATTTTCAAGCCTTTTCCTTTTCATTCTCATAGGTATACTGATAAGAGTATAAGAATTGCAGAAGATTCTTACAGAGGAAAGGTTGATACAAAATACAAGGGGAAAATTGTTACTTGCTGGTATATTCATCTTGTAAGCACTTGTCTGTGGAAACAGTAGCTTGCTAACCAGCAGCACTATCAAGGCAAGGCCATGTATTGGGTACTTGCTGAAGTTCTATGCATTGTAACTTAATTTTTTAAAATAATTAAATTTAACCCCCCAGATACTTTCTTTATATTCTAGACAGAAGATTCATAAGAGTATACAAGAGTTCATGTGTAATTTTCAAAAAGCAACTTCTATCTTAGGCTCCTTTGCATGAGTACACATAACATGTGCTGTGTTTTTATAATAGCAGATTAATACACAAGTAGAATATTGCTTACATTTTCCACCTTTTGTAGTACAGGTTAGAGCGTGTTCCTGTTGTGATGAACTAGTTTGTTCATTACAACATGGTACTATCACGTAAATTGATCATTTTGTTAAAAAGGTAGACATGTCCAAGAACAAGCTGAAGTGCTTTGCTGAATAGGGATGGTTTGCTGAATTGGACCCCAAAAGTAGAAGGGTGAACAAACTTGGAAAATTTAAAATATTTTTACAAAAATTCTTTTTACTAAAAAATGATTAAATGGAAGTTTGATCTGCACTGCAGGAATCTGTCACATTGAGGCCAATAAACTTTTTAAAAAAAATCCTTGTAATGGAGACATTAGAAAGACCCCTTGTATCCTTTTTGACTTCTTTCTGTGTAAGTGAGGAAACTTCACAGGTGAGGAAGTTATTTAAGGCATACAAGTGAAAAGTTTTATAAATGGAGGCAATATACTTTATGCCACAAGCTAGTTTAGCCAACAGTTGATAAATGGTAGGATACTGAAGACTTACATCCTTTGAATTGGAGAATTTCTCAAATCTTATTTGTATTTCAGCCCATAAACCTAACAAACAAATTTGCTCTGATCAAGTAGGGATGCTTTTCACAGCAGTAGGTCTTGTTGCAAAAAGGCTGGCTAATGAAACAATAGATTTCCTTCTAGGAGAAGGATTTGAAGATGTGCAGTGGCAAAGTTTTGGTAGAGCTTTGTAGAAGGTTGTTCTGAAAGTCCAGAGTGGTAATTGATCTTCTACCTGGTATGCAGAGGTGTCTACATCTAAAGTCACTTATTGCTGAGAATAATTCCAAGCATTAAGATCAGAGAATATCAGGAAATATTTAATTTCCTTAAAGGGAAGTTATTGTTTGCAGTCTATTGTACTTCCATTTTCTCAAGTTTTTTCTTTTATCTGTAAATTTCCAATGCCTGTAATGTACCAAGGCAATAGAATCATAGTCTTAAAAAGGACCGCAAGGTTCAACAATAGATAAAGCATGGCTTCTGTTGGCCTAGTTAGTAGAAGGGAAGACTTGCTTTTTGGGTCATCTGATGGTTTTGCTGCTTAGGAATTACAAGCATCTTGGTTTAACTATATCACTTTAATTTGCTAGGAAAGTGGTGTATCGTATCCATTGCTGCAAGCTGCTATCCTAGTGTGTGCTGTAGCAATGTGCCCTCACATGTAGTGCAACAATGGAATGGAAACTCTTTGTTTCCCTCTTGTGTCTGGCCAGCAGTTGGCAGGTGAACTAATTAGCATTGTTCCTGCTTTATTTGGAGGTCTAATCAAAAGGAGGTTTAATGCTTTTACCAGAGCAGGAACACCTTCAAGCCTAAGAACTGAAGAAAATCCTATGTCAATAACTCTGCTTTCTAATACATTCATTCAGTGTTACAGGGATGCAGTTAGGAACCTTACATTCAGTATTTACGCTCTGTAAAAGCTTTTTAAACCGTTGTAATTAGAACCTTTTTTCATTAGCTGAAAACA